GGATTATTCTGTAATGAGTGTATGAATTTGTTCTAGACTCAATTTTCCTGGCAACAACTCATAACTTTCCCAAGAACCAACAGAATCAATGACCAGTATCAGAGTTTTTAATCTGTGGTGTCACGGAGATAGCTGGGAGTGCTGGTGGCGTAGGGTCTGAGTAGGGAGTCCACATATCCAGACAGTCCTTCAGTGAGAGTGCCAATGCTCGAGATGATGGGGCGTCCAGGATTTCCAGGTTTGTGGATCTTGGGTAGTAGATAGAATAACCCCGGTCGGGGCTCTGAGGGTATGTTGATTTGTTCCTGTGTTAGTGTAGGGAGTGTCCTGAGTAGATGGTGCAGTTTCTTAGTGTATTCCTCAGTGGGATCTGAGGAAAGTTGCATCTGACTTGCATCTGAAGAAGTGAGGTTCTTACCCACGAAAGCTTATGCTCCCTATACTTCTGTTAGTCTTAAAGGTGCCACAGGACCCTCTGTTGCTTTTTACAGAATCAATGACATGATTCCTGGATTCTGGACACCCTCGCTGCTGCCCATGGAGTTCTGAATAGCAACAGCAAAAGTGTCCTGAACATCATCATTAACTTCATTTGACTGCTTGGGAAACTCAGGAACAGCTGTAAAAGATGCTGGAGCTGTCCTTCTGCAAATTCGAGAGAGTACTTCCTTGGGTGATATTTGGAAGGTTCTCTATAAACAAAGAGACTAAACCTATTTTTAAAGAGTGACTTCAGATTCTGCAATAACTAATAGTTTAGCAATCACCAACCTCAAAACAAACAAACAAAAAGTTCCCAGAGAAGCTGTCCCTATTGTCACTGCCAAACAGGTGAGTGGACTGCCAAGTACTGGCTGTACTTACAGCCTTTTGGCCCCATCTCCATATTAACAGAAAGCAACCAGAGTTACCTGAATGCTACCAATAAGTATTTGTGTAATATTCGGGGAGAATACCTAGAATCACGTTATCTGTTTAAAAATTAAACTTCAGTCCCAAGCCTTCTACATTTTATCCACTTACCAGTTTAAGTCAACAATGGATTCAGATCCCCACTAGCATTCAAAAAGCTGTTGCTAGCAGGGCTCTAACTGGCCAGCAGGGACAAGGATTTTGCATTTCATAATTTTGTTTTACATTTAAAATCATGCTGAGTGCCAAAGGTGAGTCTAAACCATGGTTTTGTTAGTAGAGTCCATGAGAGATGGACAGAAGAAACCCTGTCCACATTAGTACACCTCTACCCCAATATAACGCGACCCGATATAACACGAATTCGGATATAACGCGGTAAAGCAGTGCTCCAGGGGGGCGGGGCTGCACACTCCGGTGGATCAAAGCAAGTTCAATATAACACGGTTTCAGCTATAACACGGTAAGATTTTTTGGCTCCCGAGGACAGCGTTATATCGAGGTAGAGGTGTACTTCACCACAACTGTAGTAAGGATGGTTCTTCTCCCAGTGACAGGGCTAATCATTTTGGGGAAACCAGCAGTCTACATTAATTCTATCCATAACACAGTAGGACATAGTCTCCTAGCATGTCCCATTATGGTTCAAATAATTCAGACCTACAGTTTAGGCAGGACTGAACCGTGTTTTAACTGTGGGCCCTAGCAACATTTCTGGACCATCATTTGGTCTGGTCCTGTCTACTTTTAAAACAAGCCAAGTTTTAACTGTGTCATGGTGTACATCCTGTAACTGCATCAACTCCACTTCCAGAGGTTTTTTTCAAAATTTCAATACTCCTTCTCATGCTGCTTCCACTTAACATTTCTCCATTTAAAGAGTGGCAGAATACTTTAGCCTGCAGCCAGGGAAAGGACTGCTCCTGGCCTTTACATTTGGTATAAGGTTTGTTAGGTCTCCAAACATAGCAGTTAGTGTGAAATCATCAAGTGAGGGGTTTTAGTCCATTACCACTAGGATCATTCTCAGCCCAACTATTCAATATTTATCAATGATCTGGAAGAACACATGCAAACTTTAACCGCAATGATTTTATACAACAAAAAAATTATGAGAATAACTGTAAGGACATGTCACCAATACAGAGTAATCCAGATTGCTAGTAATCTGGGCACATGAAAACATACATTTTAATGAGGGCTGTCAATTAATCGTAGTTAACTCAAAAAAATGATTAATCGCACTGTTATACAATAGAATACCAATTGAAATGTATTAAATATTTTCAGGTGTTTTTCTATATTTTCAGGTATATTGATTTCTTACAGCACAAAATACAAAGTGTACATGCTCACTTTATTTTTTATTACAAATATTTAAACTGTAAAAATGATAAACAAAAGAAATAGTATTTTTCAAGTCACCTCATTCAAGTACTGTAGTGCAATCTGTCATGAAAGTGTAACAACAAAAATAATCTATATTTGTATGTAACTGCTCTCAAAAACAAAACAATGTAAAACTTTACAGCCTACAATGTGAGATTTCTAAAAATAGCTACAGCACTGGACCCAAGGTTTAAGAATCTGAAGTGCCATCCAAAATCAGAGAGATGAGGTGTGGAACATGCTTTCAGAAGTCTTAAAAGAGCAACACTCAGATGTGGAAACTACAGAATCCAAACCATCCAAAAAAAAAATCAACCTTCTGTTGGTGGCATCTGACTCAGATGACGAAAATGAACATGCGTTGGTCCGTTCTGCTTTGGACCGTTATCTAGCAGAACCCATCATTAGCATGGACGCATGTCCTCTGGAATGGTGGTTGAAGCATAAAGGGACATATGAATCTTTAGCACATCTGGCACGTAAATGTCTTGCAACACCAGCTACAACAGTGCCATGCGAACGCCTGTTCTCACTTTCGGGTGACACTGTAAACAAGAAGCAGGCAGCATGGTCTCCTGCAAATTGTAACCAAACTTGTTTGTCTGAGCGATTGGCTGAAGTAGGACTGAGTGGACTCGTAGGCTCTAAAGTTATACATTGTTTTATTTTTTAATACCTTTTTTGTACATAATTCTACATTTGTAAGTTCAACTTTCATAATAAAGATATTGCAATACAGTACTTGTATTAGGTGAATTGAAAAATATTCCTTTTGTTTTTTACAGTGCAAATATTTGTAATCAAAAATAAATATAAAGTGAGCACTGTACACTTTGTATTCTGTGTTATAATTGAAATCAGTATATTTAAAAATGTAGAAAACATCCAAAAATATTTAAATAAATGTTATTCTATTACTGTTTACCAGCATGATTAATCGCACCATTAATCGTGATTAATTTTTTGCACTTGACAGCCCTAATTTTAATACAGTTAAATGTAAGGTCACACATCCTCGAACACAAGTCATATTTACAGGATGGGAGATTGTATCCTGAAGAGCAGAGACTCTGTAAAAAAAACTTAGATCAGCATGGTAGATAGCCTCTAACCAGGAACACCTAATGAGATACTGTGGCAAAGAGGGCTAAGAGGATGCTTGGCTATACAAGCAAAACTATTCAGTGGGGAGTCTTTACCTTTGTAAATAGCACTGGTGAGACCAATACTGGAATACTTCGTCCAGTTCTGGTATCAACCCTGATGCTTCTCAAATTTTTTTAAAGCAAACAACTGCAAGAATGATTCGAGATCTGGAAAACAAGCCTTACAAAGAGAGAGAGTTTAGTCTATATGGCTTATCAAAGGAAAGGTGAAGAGATGATTTGGTCACAGACTAGGAGTACATACACAGAGAAGATATCTGACACTAAAGGAATCCAGACTTGCAAAAGCATTAACTTCCAGCCATTGGATCTGGTTAAGTAAAAAAAAAAAAAAATTAAACGAAGTAAAACACTTTTTTTAAAAACATGAGTAAAGGTAATTAACCAAAGGAAATAGATTGAGGATGAGATAACTCCATCACTTGAAGTCTAAGTCAAGACTGGATGTCAGTCTAGAAGATATGCTCTGGTTCAACCAGAATTTATGGCCTGTTTTCATGCAGATGGTCAGATTGTTTACACATAATAGCACCTTTAAAAATCTATGAAAATTCAAAACTGAACTGATACACGGTCATCATCAATAAGAATAAAGCCAGGCCATACTAGTTTTATGCTACTTAATAAAGTTTATTCATTTTACTGTCAACAGCCATTGGAACTTAACAGGTCATAACTAGTGGGCAGTTTGACCTAGATTCGCATTCACCGAGATTTCACCACTTCGGTATTCATTAATGATGCTACGTGAATACGACAAAATGCAACTTCGACCTACTTTCTTCAAGCCTGGATCAAACCTTAAAGCCTACTTACTTACTTACAAACACACACCCCTTAAACAGAGGGCCAGAAAACACTACCTCCTAACAACAGGCAGAGCGTGGAGGGAACAGACCCTTTACTGCCCGGTTAGCATTTCCGAGGCTGGAAGAGCGAGGTGAAATGAGGTAAAGGACGAGGCCACCAGAAGACGGAAGACTAGCGACGCTGCAGGAATAGGGCACAGGGATAGGAGACAGTCCCTGGTTTTCTCCCATGGGGTCAGGTGGGCCACATTTAACCGAAGAAATGATCGGGTCACCCTCTTCCCCGGGTTAAAGCTGCCCCCCCCCCCCAGACCCCGGTGTCCCCTTCCTGCAGCCACCGCTCATCTTTCCTCAGGACACCGAGGCCCGAGACCCCCGCCGGCCTCTCGTCTCCCGCAGCTGCCCGGGGCGGGGGCACTGCGCGGCTCCGGGGTGGGGGCGCCCGACACAGCTCACGCCGGGCAGGGGGGGAGGGGGGGAGCGGCCCCCTCTGCCCCCGGCCCGGCCGGATCAGCGCCGGGGCCAGGCTGCGGACACGTCCCGGGGCCCTCTCAGGAGCCGTGTCCCCGGCCCCCCTGGCTCCCCGGCCTCGCCCGCTCTGCCCCACGGCCTCGCCCTCCGGCCCTGCCCCCGGGGCCCGCGCAGGCCCAGAGCGGTGCGGCGGGCGCCGGGAACCGACGCCGCGCTCGGCCCCCGTGGGACTGGCGGCGGCTCGGTCACTCACTCGGGCAGGTAGGTGGAGGAGAAGCTGCTCCAGCGGTGCAGGGTGTAGCCCAGCACCCGGCTCTCGGGCCCGGCCGGACCCGCGGGCCCCGCCGCCGCCGCCATCTTGTCAGCAGCAGCAGTAGCGGAGGGGGGGGAGGGGCCGCCGCTCTTAAAGGGGCCGCCGCCCTCCCGAGCCCGAGGGGAGCGGGCCGGGCTGGGGGGTTGGGGAGGCGAGAGACTCGCGGTCCGGCCTGTCCGTGTGTCTGTCATTGTCACACCTCGCAGACAGCTGACAGGCAGGCATTACAGACCGCCAGACAGAGGGACAGACCGACCGGCAGGGATTGCAGACACAGTCAGTCTAGGGTCACCCGATGTCCTGATTTTATAGGGACAGTCCCGATTTTTGGGTCTTTTTCTTATATAGTCTCCTATGACCCCCCCCACCCCCTGTCCCGATTTTTCACACTTGCTGTCTGGGCACCCTAAGCCGGTCCCATTGCAGAAAGACGCTGCGGCCAGCCCAGGCAGCGACATTACAGACAATCCGACAGACCCCGCTGCAGCCCGCAGCCAGGCTTGACAGCCCAGACACACACATTGCAGAGAGACAGACCGACCCAGCCTACAGCCATTGCAGTCACACCTGGCAGAAAGACAGACGTTGCTAGGGTGACCAGACAACAAGTGTGAAAAATCAGGACAGGGAGTGGGGGGGTAATAGAAGCCTGTATAAGAAAAAGACCCCAAAATCGGGACTGTCCCTATAAAATCGGGACATCTGGTCACCCTAGACGTTGCCCACAAGCAGACCGATATTGCAGACACGCTGGCAGACATAACAAACAAGCAGACAAACGTTGCAGACAGACCCACACTGCAGGCAGCTATTGTAGATGGGCCGGCCAGGCAGGCCGTTCAGTGAGTCTGGCTTTCCTGGCTGTCTGGTGGGGCTGTCTCTCTACGGGCTTATATTGTGCGCTGGCATGTAGGCACTTCCAGACCAGGATGAGGACAAAACTGAATCCTAGGCCTCTTGCACGGACGGACAGACAGAGCGGGGCTCACAGACACATGCTGAGATCCAAGCCCAAGTGGTTTCTGGCAGGCCAAGCCCTGCTCCGTCCTTGGGTTGCAGTGTGGTGGCGTGTCTGCTAGGAGCCCCAGCAATATAGTGAGGAATTGCCTGGCACCAGGCAGTAAAGAAATGGATAAAACAAATAAACTACACAAGCAGGGTTTTGTCCCTTAGGATTATTTGTCATCATCACCCACTGCTGGTTCATGGCTGCTGTGTGCCATCTCATTTATTTCTCCTGATACCACAGATGTTAGAAATGGAAAGGCCTGTTAGACAGTCCATCTCCCTTTGGCCACTGTAGGACTGCATTTCATAGAGTAGAATATCAGGGTTGGAAGGGACCTCAGGAGGTCTAGTCCAACCCCCTGCTCAAAGCAGGACCAATCCCCCAACAGATTTTTTGCCCCAGATACCTAAATGGTCCCCTCAAGGATTGAGCTCACAACCCTGGATTTAGTAGGCCAATGCTCAAACCACTGAGCTATCATTTGATAGTGTCTTAGCTAAGATCTTTAAGGCAGGGGTCCTTTTTGTTCAGTGTTTGTACAGCAACTAGCACAATGGGGTTCTGGTCCATGATTGAGGCTCCTATCTGGTACCACGGTACAAATAATTTTTAAAAGTCCCATGTGAGGGGGTTTCCACCACATCCCTTGGTAGACTATTCCACAACCTAGTGCACCTCAATGTCAGAGTGATATTCAGCTTAACTTTCCCCTTTCTTAATTTCATATCATTCCTTTAACCACAACTACTAAACTAAAGAATTCTTCTCCCTCCCTAGTCATCACTTAGCCTGGCTGGGATGATTTAGTTGGTGTTGATCCTGCTTTGAGCAGGGGATTGGACTAGATGACCTCCTGAGGTCTCTTCCAACCCTAATCTTCTATGATTCTAAGTAGGACACATTCAGTTCTTTTATTCTTTGCTGAGAAGTCTGTCCTTCCAGTGCCACGATCTTTTTTATTCATCTTCCCTACATCCCCTCCAGTTATTCATTATTAATAGTATTTATTATTTGTATTACCATAGTACCTAGGATCCTTAGTCATGGACTAACACCCGATTGTGCTAGGCACTGTACAAACAGAACAAAAAGAACAGTCCCTACCCCAAGGAGCTAAAAATCTCTTTCTGGTAAGTGGTGCCTAGAAGTGAATGTATTATTTTAGGTGGGGTTGGTCCACAGCCCTTTAGAGAAGACATTTTACTTCCCTGTTCTTGACTGTGTTGTTTTTTCATAAGCAGTCCACCTCAGCATTGGCCTTTTCCTTGTGACCAAATCACCACTGCAGATTCATAGCTGTGTAGCACCATTACTGTTTTTCAGGTTTCTCCCTTCCACTGAATATCTGTATTTTAAATCCTCTTCCCCCCAAAAGTTGAAACTAGACAAATTGAGACTGGAAATAAGGCATACATTTTTAATAATGAGAGTAATTAGCCATTGAAACAATTTACCAAGAGTTGTAATAGATTCTCCATCACTGACCATTTTTAAATCGAGGTTGGATGTTTTGCAAAAAGATCCGCCCTGGGAATGATTTGGGGGCAGTTCTATGGCCTGTGTTATACAGGAGGTCAGACTAGATGATCACAGTAGTCCCTTCTGGCCTTGAAATCTATGAAAACATATTAGTCTGCATTTCTGCTGAATTTAACTGCATTGTTTGCTGAACTTCTGTCCATTTCTTTAATCCCCCTCTGTGTTATTTCTGAGTGCTCTCCACACTTCCTCACAGTTTAGAGTCAGCTGCAAATGTCGTAAGTGTGCAGAGTTAGGCTTGCAGGATGTTTTCTAAGGTTAGAGGAACAGGCTGGTACTACCTATCTAGGTACTTATATGACCCATGTCACTGTTTGAGCGCCTCACAATTATTAATGGATTTTATCCTCATAACACCCCTGTGAAGTAAGATCCCCAAGATACCCCATTTTACCAAGGTCTCTTGAGTCCCAGTCCAACACCCTATTCACTAGACCTTCCTTCCTACATTGACTCTTATCGTCCAAATGTGCTGCAATATATTTCAAGTAGATACGACCGTGAGGAGTATGTGGGGGACAGAGAGAGTGAAATTCATTTTTGTTCCTCTTCCAGCGGAGACAGCTGCAGCCTCAGATGGTGGGGCCGAAGGAGGCTTTACTCCTTGAGTAAGTTCTTTGGACATGATGGTGGAGACTTATGCAGAAGTCACTGTGCACTGACTGGTGGATCCTGTGGCGCTATCAGCTGATGTTATGAGCCTTGTTTCTGTGATGCCCCAGTAAAAGTTTATGTTTGATTTAGGGTTTGGAATGATGAATTTAAAGGCACCATTGAACTTATCCAAGTAAATAATACAATGCACCAGTTCCTCCATATAATTTACATTGGTTCTGAGCAGAGTTACTGTAGGTCAGGGGTAGTCAATTGTTTTTTGTCAAGGTCCAAATGTATTGGTCAAGATATAGTCAATGTCTAGACCCCAGAGAAAATAATACAAAAATAATAACAATGATGATAATAATAAGTACATAAAAAGATTTCGGGGTCCATTCAAAAGCATCTGGCAGTCTGGATTTGGCTCACGGTCCGCCTATTGACTATCCCTGCTGTAGGTATCCCTGGCAGCCATGCACATGTTTTTCATGTGACCCGACAGAACATTTTAGTGTGGGCTGTGGTGAGGAAGCGCATGCGCTGCTGCTCTAATGCACACGAGACTGAGGATTGCCGGCATTTCATTAGATGCAACATGTGTGGGAAAAGTGGACATGTTTATAGGCAGTGCCTAAAGGCATGGCACAATAGAGAAAAACATCATTCCCAACCTCAGAATGACCCTTCTTTGCCAGAGGATCAGAGGATGCCAAACAGCTCTGCAAGGATTGGCGAAAGCCCCATTTTGAGTGGCAGGGCCTCCCTATTTTTGGAGGAAGGACTGACCTTGTTCTTTGCTGATACAGGACTGGGAAGGGGTCAGGGTAAGGGAGTGGGAACCACTGAGAGCCAGGACAATAGAGATGGGACATGAGCACTAGTAAAGTGGGGGACACAATCAGAGATCGGGGGTGGGGGGAGAATAAGAGAAACTGGGGAAGGAAAATCCACAGGCGACATTTGTTATGCAGGAATCCTAGCCACCGCAGAGGGATTAGCAGGCTATGGGTCTGGCAGACCCGACAGTTGGGGAACAGGATTTGATGTGCTTAACTTCAGGAATAGAAGAGTTCAAGAGTTTCTTGAAATCACACACGGAAAGAGAGGATCCAAGGAGACAGCTGGGCTTATAGTGACTGAGAGTGCCCTACAACTGTCCAAACCACACAGCATTTTCACAGTTCAAACACATAACAAGTTTTCTGTATTAGGTCCTATTGCGGATGAGGAAGAGCAGAGAGAGGAGTCTGTGGGTGCGTTAAACGTGCATTCATTGAGGGAAAGGGACCCACGAGCTATTGGGTCTGAGTTACTTCAGAACGAACTACACCTCTACCCCAATATAACGTGACCCGCTATAACATGAATTCGGATATAACGCGCTAAAACAGCGCTCCGGGGGGGCGGGGCTGCGCACTCCGGCAGATCAAAGCAAGTTCGATATAACGCGGTTTCACCTATAACGCATTAAGATTTTTTGTCTCCCAAGGACAGCATTATATCGGGGTAGAGGTGTATCAGAATTGGGATCAAGATCTGGGGACTCAGGAGGTCTCCCAGTTTGTGAGAAATGAACGAGTCAGCAAGGAAAAAGTGGGTAAACAAAAAAGAACAAGAGAGGAGGGTAAGTCAGAGGGTTTAATAGCAACATCAAGGCAGTCAACTAGATGGGGGCCACAAGTAGCTGTGAACCTTTGTTTAGATGATACTGAAAATTGCAATTTAGAACATGTGCCCCATCCTGAGGGTGCACCAGAGGCAAATGATCTTTCAATTTTTGGATGGGCAGGATTTGGTTCTAGTGGGTATCCAGGAAATGAAACTATGTTCTAGGTGTGACATTTTGTAGCTCAGAGGGACTGGAGGAGAGACCCATCTGTTTTGGTCCACCGAGCTAATG